AAATTGTTATTTACCTGTTCTGTTACCTTGGAGCCAAACCCATTCTTGACAGCCTAACGGTCACTGTAATACTGTGTAACACGCATTGTGAAATTGTATAATCTTGATTATTGTGATGAGAAATTACAGATATATACACAGTGTACATTATCGCATACAAGCTTAAGCCTTCCGTATTTTTGTCATTCCGTAATTTTGATCTACAAATGATACCAAATCGCACAGTTGTGCGGAGAGAAGCGCACAACGGGGCGAACGATTGCTAAATCGCACAGTTGTGCGCACCATGTGTGAACGATGTGCGGACGGTGTTAACGATGTATGCACGGTGTGCGCACGCTATTTTTGGTGCGTTGTGCGGTCCCACAACTGTAGCTATGTTTTTATGTTGTTTTATCATTGGATTAACATACCAATGATGTTGCTTTGTAACACTTTTGAATGATATCGTAAAGGGAAGGGGTTAAGAATTAATGTCGAGTTAAATAATGATAAGGAGTACCCATGTTTCACATGCTATAACACAACATAAGCTGTGACCATGACAATAGCGGTGAAGAGTTGAAACTTAATTTGTGACCTTGACAATAGCGGTGGAGAGTTAGAACTTAATCTATGACCTTGGCAATAGCGGTGGAGAGCTGGAACTTTAGCTGTGACCTTGACAATAGCGATGAAGAGTTGGAACTTAGGCAGAAGGTGACATACTATTTCTCTGTCACAACGTTAATATACAAGGGGGAGGGGTTACACAAGAAATGTTAAGGGTGATGTAGAGAAAATCTTCACTAATACATAGATTTGCCAAGAAATACATTATAGTTAAGTTGATATATCCTCAATTTATTCACAGTTATTTGTAAACAGCAAGGTGGTAAAGGCAATACAGACGTCTGCAAGTGTTAAATATGTATACCTTTAACAGGCAATGGGAAAGGTCTGTTTCATTCCTACTCAAGACTCCAAAGTCTATTCTAACTTTATTTTCATCAACTTTTAATAGGCACTTTTAAATTATGGTCTAAAACTTTGTTTTATAATTGGTACTTATTTTTTTTATTTTGCAGCCCTAATATTTTGAGGGCTGAAAAACAGACACACAACTATCATTTTTGCCTATCCTTTTAATCTACAGCACAGGTAGACTATTGGTTATCTGACTTACCTGTACAACTGTATTGGGTGCATTGTTGTTTCTTGTAATATTTGGTGTTCTACAACTTACGTACGATAAGGTGCATGCATTTTACACTGTAGGAGATTTACGGTAATCGGGGATAGTTAGTTCAAGTTTAGCTTTAACAAAATATGTCACATTTAGGCAAGGTGTTCACTTGAATACTGTATACATATGAACTATTCGCCGTACACCAGTTATTTTAAACATTCCTATTCGCCGTACAATGCATTGCTATTCGCCGTACACTTCACCAAAATTAGTTATACCAATATCTAAAGAGAGAAGCATAATATAGAGTGACTTCGTGTATAATCATGACTATATAAATATAAGAAATCATCTTAGCATATAAGTGTATATAATCAAATGGCAAATGTCAAGTCAAGACAATATTGGCTGTTGCTAATGAAGATTTAGCGGTACTAGGCAGACTGTTTTTGTAAATGATTTGGAACTACACCAAAACAATAACATGCCTCCTGTTTCAGATATGAATTAAGTCTATGCTTGACTGTCGTGCTTCTTTATTTGTCTCTACACTACCAGAAAATACCAGAAATATCGGAAAACTTTACGACATTTGACTACGCCCAGCTTCCATGCCCGCTTCGGTACTAGCTATATCCGGTGTCAGTCCTACACAGTGATCACCGGTCATGGACGTATACGCTAGGCAACGCAAAATATGTCGTTCCATATAATAAACCCTGTCCTGATCATGAGTGCTCCCCGGTGATTGGGTATTCCTTATTGTGACCCCGGCTACATACAACAGAGATAACACCGTTCGTGTACTGTATATATACTCCGGTGGAGGTGAGCTGTATAACTATAAGGACAAAGACAGTGACCAGTCATCTCGTCAGTGTAACAACTCATACCAACAATGTCGTCTCTCAAATCTCACTCAAAAGGTAAGGAACCGAACAGGTACAGAATAGTATAGTTCCATTGGTAAATATAGTGTTTATCTTGAATCGGCTAGCCTGTTTAAATATTATTCAGAGTTAATCAAACAAACCTGTTTTAATTATCATAAATGTGACTTAAAGGGACATCACGTGAAGAGCCATATTTTTTTTTAATGAATGTATGTATTGTATGCACTTCCACTTATGTTACCTCGCTATTCCCATATTCATAGGCCGTTCCAAATGTCCAGTTTGACCACTTGAATTGTTCGGGAAAGCCCTGCTAAAAATAGCGCCGATAACGTCACCTGACTAGTATAGGCAGTAAACACAAGTGGTGTAAGCGAGACGAAACGGTTTCCAAAGGGGCCCCAAGAGAGGGGCCGTTATCCAACTGCAATTTCTTACCGCACTATGAAACCAAGTAATATGATTTCTAAGTCCGTATTCAAACTTATTGAACAGTTATTATTCATCATCAGAAGTTAATTGCACACTTGCCAATATTCAGAATTTAAATTTATTTAGCTTTAAACATAAATTTGTTGCCAATAACATTAAACAAGGGATGGGGCACAAGTTTTTACAATTTATCACAGCCTTCTCCCGTCATACATTAACAATTAAATGTCAACAATGATAATAGGCATAAACATAAAGTAGATATATATAAATATATATTGAATTTAGTACCGGAATGTGACCGGTACAGGTGGTACGGGGCTAAACACCTTCCCTCAACAATGGGACAAACCTTTCTGTAAAAGAGACGAATATCCCTTTTCAAATGTTTACATAAAGTGCATATATATGCAATCACAAACTACACGCGAATAAAAAAAGGAAACGTTTGTGAATTTATTTATTACATTATACAACTCAATGTCTTTGGCCATTTTTTTTTTAGACCATGCATATAAATAAATGTATGCATACTCTCTTTCCTACTTTCACTGTCTCCATACGCTAACACTTAGTAAGTCATATTAGCCATCACACACAAACTGTATGGCAAAACCACTACGTGTACATATATATGTGTCAATAAGAAACGTGTTGAGATACTCGATAATTATATTTTTTCAATACTTTACAGAGATTAAAGCATACTTGTAAATGGACCTTTTTATGTTGAGACAACTTTTCTTTAATCAGTTCCTTTTGCCCGAAACAGAAGCCGTAGTTATCGGCAGCACGCGCCATTTTTACAACGTAATCAAATGTTTTTTCCCCTGTTTTCAATACGTATTCTGATTCTATCTGAAGTCGAAAATTTATTCTTTATAGAGAAAAGGTTGTTAAATGATCATACATTCTAAGCCAACATCATATGAAAACATGAACTGTTGAAAAATTACGATTTAAAGTTAAGTTTCTGTTTTGTGGCAATAACCATACATTTCGTTTTATTCCTATTTAGAATCATTTTATTCTCATTACACCAGTCTTGGACTTTACTCAGATCAGTTGAATTTGATGTCAGCTTCGTGCGACGACCACGAGTCTCTGTGCCTGCCAATTTCTTTATCGATAAACCCGATACAAAACATAGCAGGTGTAACAAGGTCTTCTGTGAACACACGATAGAGTCTCGAATCTCGAGAATGATCCGGCATAGAATGACAATAAGTGTGGCATATACAAATAAATGTTCCTTTTTTAAAGCTCTCCTTTCCTTACACAGATTCCAAGTTGCCAGCTTTAACGCCCGGAAAACTAAGGCTGTACAGTATGAGGTTCTGTCCTTTTGCTCAACGAACCAGATTAGTATTAGTCCACAAGAAAATAGAGTGAGTAATTTTATTTATATACTTATTTGTTTAATAGTAAGTAAAACATACCTGTATACCAGCTATATACCACCTGGCACAATTTGTCTTCTTTGGCTAACAGTGAGTAAAATAAACTGTTTACTTGCTTTATATTGATTACAACTTACAGGTGTACCCTTTGTAATAGCCAATTAAAATATATATGTACCTGTGGAAATAATGATTAAACTATTATTGCCTATTTGTTGCAATAAGAAGTAAATCATGCCTGTGTACCTGTTAAGTACATACCTGAATACCTGTTTGAGTAGGTAAAACGTACATGTGTCTTCCTGTCTAGTGGTTGAGAAGGTGAAATATACCTGTCTTCCTGTCTAGTGTTTGAGAAGGTAAAATGAGTAGGTAAAACATATTTGTCTTCCTGTCTGCTGTTTGAGTAGGTAAAACACACCTGTTTACCTGTTGTTTGAGTAGGTAAGACATGTATGTCTACCTGTTGTTTGAGTAGGTAAATCATACCTGTCTACCTGATGTTTGAGTAAGTAAAACATACCTGTCTTTTTGTCTGGTGTTTGAGTAGGTAAATCATAACTGTCTACCCGTTGTTTGAGTAGGAAATCATACCTGTCTACCTGTTGTTTGAGTAGGTAAAACATGCACATTTACCTGCTGTTTGAGTAGGTAAAACATATATGTCTACCTGTTGTTTGAGTAGGTAAAACATACCTGTCTATCTGTTGTTTGAGTAGGTAAATCATACCTGTCTACCTGTTGTTTGAGTAGAAAAAACATACATGTCTACCTGTTGTTTGAGTAGGTAAAACATGTATGTCTACCTGTTGTTTGAGTAGGTAAAACATACCTGTCTATCTGTTGTTTAGGTAGGAAAAAAACATGCCTGTCTACCTGTTGTTTCAGTAGGTAAAACATACCTCTCTACCTGTTGTTTGAGTAGGTAAAACATACCTGTCTTTTTCTCTGGTGTTTGAGTAGGTAAATCATAACTGTCTACCTGTTGTTTGAGTAGGTAAATCATACCTGTCTACCTGTTGTTTGAGTAGGTAAAACATGCCCATCTATCTGTTGTTTGAGTAGGTAAAACATGTATGTCTACCTGTTGTTTGAGTAGATAAAACATACATGTCTACCTGATGTTTGAGTAGGTAAAACATGTATGTCTACCTGTTGTTTGAGTAGGTAAAAAATGTCTGTGTACCTGATGTTTGGGTATGTAAACATACCTGTCTACCTGATGTTTGAGTAGGTAAAACATGTATGTCTACCTGTTGTTTGAGTAGGTAAAAATGTCTGTCTACCTGTTGTTTGAGTAGGTAAAACATACCTGTCTATCTGTTGTTTCAGTAGGTAAAACATGCCTGTCTACCTGTTGTTTCAGTAAATAAAGCATGCTTGTCTATCTGTTGTTTCAGTAGGTAAATCATACCTGTCTACCTGTTGTTTCAGTAGGTAAAACATGCCCATCTACCTGTTGTTTGAGTAGGTAAAACATGTATGTCTACCTGTTGTTTGAGTAGATAAAACAAACATGTCTACCTGATGTTTGAGTAGGTAAAACATACCTGTCTACCTGTTGTTTGAGTAGATAAAACAAACATGTCTACCTGATGTTTGCGTAGGTAAAACATACCTGTCTACCTGTTGTTTGAGTAGGTAAAACATGTCTCTCTACCTGTTGTTTGAGTAGGTAAAAATTGTCTGTCTACCTGATGTTTGGGTATGTAAACATACCTGTCTACCTGATGTTTGAGTAGGTAAGACATGTATGTCTACCTGTTGTTTGAGTAGGTAAAAAATGTCTGTCTACCTGTTGTTTGAGTAGGTAAAACATACCTGTCTATCTGTTGTTTCATTAGGTAAAACATGCCTGTCTACCTGTTGTTTCAGTAAATAAAACATGCTTGTCTATCTGTTGTTTCAGTAGGTAAAACATACCTGTCTATCTGTTGTATCAGTAGGTAAAATATGCCTGTCTACCTGTTGTTTCAGTAGGTAAAACATACCTGTCTACCTGTTGTTTCAGTAGGTAAAACATACCTGTCTATCTGTTGTTTGAGTAGGTAAAACATACCTGTCTTTTTGTCTGGTGTTTGAGTAGGTAAAACATGTCTGTCTACCTGTTGTTTGAGTAGGTAAATCATACCTGTCTTCCTGTTGTTTGAGTAGGTAAAACATACCTGTCTACCTGATGTTTGAGTAGGTAAAACCGACCTGAATTCCTGTCTGGTGTTTGTGTAGGTAAAACATGCCTGTCTACCTGTTGTTTGAGTAGGTAAAACATGCCCGTCTACCTGTTGTTTCAGTAGGTAAAACATGTCTGTCTACCTGTTGTTTCGGTAGGTAAAACATGTCTGTCTACCTGTTGTTTCGGTAGGTAAAACATGTCTGTCTACCTGTTGTTTAGGTAGGAAAAAAACATACCAGTCTACCTGTTGTTTCAGTAGGTAAAACATACCCGTCTACCTGTTGTTTCGGTAGGTAAAACATGTCTGTCTACCTGTTGTTTCGGTAGGTAAAACATGTCTGTCTACCTGTTGTTTGAGTAGGTAAAACATGTCTGTCTACCTGCTGTTTGAGTAGGTAAAACCGTCTTGTTTACATATTGCTTGAGTAGGTAAAATATACCCATATTCCTGTTGTTTGAGTGGGTAAAACCGACATGAATTCCTGTCTGGTATTTGTGTATGTAAAACATGCCCGTCTACATGTTGTTTGAGTAGGTAAAACCGACCTGAATTCCTGTCTGGTGTTTGTGTAGGTAAAACCGATTCGTTTACCTATTGCTTGAGTATGTAATACATACCTGTCTACCTATAGCTTATTGTTGTAATGCTTAATAAAGGATGCAGTGTTATTACAGTGAATCAGAATTAAGCTACTATTGCAGCATTAACGAAGAAACGTTATAATCAAGGTATCACAGACTCCTCGTTAATACCATGCAGTGAAATCCACAGCTACGATGTTTACTATACGTTATGAAGTGTTGACTGTTACCAGATTTGAGACGGTGAACGTTGATCTGAAGGCGAAACCTGATTGGTTCCTGGAGAGAAATCCGCTTGGATTGGTTCCTGTTCTAGAGCAGGATGACAAGGTTCTATACGAGTCAGTAATCACGTGCGACTATCTTGATGACGTCTACCCTGACAACAAACTAAACCCCTCTGACCCTTACCAACGGGCACGTGACAGGATTCTTCTGGAGAGTTACGGCAAGGTAATTTCAATTTTCCGCTATTCCAGTCAATCTGCTGAATCAAATGACTGTTCTTCAATTCAATATTTTACTATTTTTATTGCAGTGTCTTTTATGCAAGCAGTATGCCGACACTGTCTGATACTGGCCCGCCTTGCTGACGTTAAATAAATACAAACAGGGGTTATATTGAATGCATGATACTCGAACTTACTATCAATGAATTATTTTGGCAATACAGAATTTTTTGTTTTCCTTAGCTAAATGTTTGTATGGAGATATTTTAAACGTGTGTTTTTACATTTTCCAAAAATGAATAGCACCCCTATGTATTTGTATTTAAACAACAGAATAATAGATTTTATATTACATAGGTTTGATTTAGAAATCTTTATATATTCAAATTATTAGTACAAGCAGGGACAGTATATACGTTATACGTCCCTGGTACAAGCCAATGTAGAATGATAGCGTGTCTTGTCATAGGGCGGTGTACATATGATTGTTCTGTTTACATAAGGTGGTGACTAATTACTACGGAACGTTCAGGAGCCAAGGCAAGGACAAAGAGATTTTGGAGAATCTATGGAAAAGTTTGACACCTTTTGAGAAAGCAATCGGAGAAAGGGGTACCTACTTCGGAGGTAAACAGTTTTTTCTTGTTTTGTAAGAAAAATTGTCATTTATTCATTGAAATTAATTAATCTGATATGGAGATTTCAAAATTTACAAATTGAGTGGCTAATCCTCCGGAGGGCTCAGGAGCGGGGCCAAAAATGGGCACTGCGGCCATGTTGCTTTAAGCAACTTCTCATCTGGAACTAAGAGATGGACACCAATAATATTTGGTTGGAAGCATTTCCAGATGGTGGAGATTGAAAATTGTCAAAATGGAGGGGCTGTTTGGTGTGGCAAAAAATGTTAAATATGGCCACACTGCTTTAAGCGGCTTCTTTTCTAGAACTTTTAACTTGGATATTATTGAGATTTCAACCTGATAACAATAAACGTTATACATTTGCTGTATATAAAGACATGAATACAAATATGCTTTCTGAATGTCTCCCTGGTCCTGATCCACCCTTGAAGATTTTTTCCCCTGGAACATAACTCTGAAACGTGGAATATCCCTCTATAACCACATATACAACTGATAGTCATAAAGATATAAACACAGTCATAGTATTAGAATTGAATGGAGGATCTTGCCCAACCCAAGGGACTTAATTATTGGGTCATTACTTTAAAATGGTTGAGATCCCCACCTAATAACCATATATACGATTTCTTGGCTTAAATACCAAGTTGAGCGATACAGACTATCTCGTCCTCTTGCTTTAGTATAAGAAACGTAAGGCATTTCGAATACAATAATGCTGAAATTTGTTTTTATCATGGCATTATGAGACATATTGGTCTAAGACCATAATCAGTGACCTTTTGCTGTTTACGGGAAATTATATAATACTTTCTTCATGAATACTTTTGGATTAACCAACACTTTTCTCAATTTTGAAATTCATATAATTGCGGTGTTTTGTGCACCACCCTTTCTGCTTCACTAGTCGTTTGGAACAATTTGGACTTCCACATTGTTGGTCCCTAGTATCACTAAGTTTGTCTTTGCGTATTGCAGAGTTATGTTCTCTTGTGAGCAGGTATTGATTGTTACGTCATTGGTTTGTGTGAGAAAATGACGTCGTTTTCTCAAAAATTGATGACGTTACTCTCACAATCAAACGACTTAACAATCAATACCTGCTCACAAGAGAAGACAACTCTGCAATACGCAAAGACGGAAATAGTCCTGGAAGGACGATACAGCTATACGTTGCAGTGAAGTTCATTTTTGACTTACTGTATCTAGCACCAAGGTGCAGTTACCCGTATGTTTGTTCCGTTCCTTATGTAGAAACTGTAATTACAATTAAACGTCCTTGTGCTGGAACTTTCACTTAACCTTTTCATCGCTCTAGACCATAATGGACTCGTCGAGATCAATGCATGGTAGAGTCTACTAAAAATACATAGGTGTGAAGGGTTATGGTCAACTTCATGGTGCTGGAATTTAATTTACATGTCAACTTCCTTATGCTGGAATATTATAATAAGTAACCACGATTGTAATTACAGGTCTATTTTGTGATGCTGTAATCTTACTTACAGACCTTTTTTGTGATGCTGTAATCTTACTTACAGGCGACAAACCAACAATGCTGGACTACTTTGTGTGGCCATGGTTTGAACGAATGGGCGTGTTTTCAGCCATATTACCTGGCGTTGATCCCATGCCGGCTAAGCAGTTCCCCAAACTCACAGCTTGGGTGGAAGTGATGAAGTCGCTGCCTGCTGTCAAGGAAACCATGTTTGATATCCCCACACATGTCGCATTTTATAAAGGATACGCCGCAGGAAAACCCGACTACGATGTCGGTCTATGATGTACAAACTAACTGGGATGTAGGATTCCGACTGACGCTGTGATATATAATGTAAACTGACACTAAGACCGATATCTAGTATATATTATGAGTTTTACATGGACGGAACGGCCATATATTGCAGTAAAATATTTGTTGTACTTACTGGAAGATAAATGAATCCATTTGCAATTTAGCAGAACCCCCCTGTTTGTCACTGCTCGACTTTTTGTATGTATGTTTTCTATACTTTAACGTTATGGAAAATAAACTGTTTGATATATATATGATACTAAGAAACTCTTTGTATTTTTTTTTTTTTTATATTTAACCATCACAAGGACTTTGAATGTTTTTTTTGATTATATATATACAAAAATACATACTACATATGTAATATTTAGCAAATCTATCTTATCTACAAATCAGGGGTATTATTCGTAGGTTTGGTCATTAATATAACAACACTTACCTCAAGTTCAGTTCGTACGTGGCCAAAGGGCCAATATATACATAACCTGTATTGTTTGTTTATCAGTTAAATCTATTGCATGTCTGAAATGAATATATATATATATATAATCCAGCATCTGCTGATTGAGTATGATATATCTTACTGAGCGAGTAAATTCTCAATTATAGCCTTCAGTTTTAGCTACTTGATAAAAAAAATTGTTAATCAGCGCGATTATTTATACTTTTTGAAAGTATTCAGACACTTGTCACAGGCAAGGAATGAAGAAACCTATACCTTAATTAGAGAAATATTCCGTTTTGTCAATGTGCCGCCTTAGGAACTGATATTTATGAAGCATTGCCCATGCTTTGTTTGGGACAAACTATAGCACGTTGTTTCCTCGCTAAGCATTGAAATTCTGCACGACAGAACAAAATATTTCTTTCCGACACGCTGGCCTCAGGATTTGTATATAGCTTCGAGTTGTTTTATACAGTGCAAAAAACCCCAAGAACACTAGGATAGTATTGCTTACTAGTAAGCCGGACACGCTAGGACACCATACTGGCAATCCAAACCTAAAATAAAAATGCCGAAGTAGTTAACTAAAACACCATATACAGAAAAAAGCCCGAACCCCC